ATTCCTCAGCACCATATAAGCAAAAAGAAAAAAGCCGGAAGTGGCGCTGTGGCTCAAGTGGTAGAGCGTTAGCCTTGAGCTGAAGGGCTGAGGGACAGCACCCAGACCCAGAATTCAGGCCCCACGACCGGACCCCCCCCCCAAAAAAAAAAAAACAATCTGGCAGTGGTATATACCTGTGTAATCATCCATGTTTCCCTTTTAATTTTATAAGCTACCTTAAATTGTTTATAAGCAAATACCATATAAAATAAATTAAAACTTGATTCTAGTATTGCTGTTTAGTGTTAGATACTAATATTTTTGCATATGTCATTAAAATATACAATATATGAGAATATGGTATTACTGTAAAAAAAAAAAGGAATCAGGGCTTTTATTATTTTTTGTTTTTCTATACTGAGGATTGAACTCAGGGCCTTGAACTTGTTAGGCAAGTATTCTGCTTGATCCACACCCATAGTCAGTCAACTTTCTTAGTTTCTTTTTATATAGGGTCTAATTTTTGTTCAGGTTGACCTCCAAGAGTAATCCTCCTATCTCTAGTTCCCAAGTAGCTAGGATTATAACTGCACACTACCATGACAAGTAGGAATCAATTTTTCTTTCCTCTCTTACTGTACTGGGGGCTTGAACCCAAGGCCTTAAGGTCTTACTGGCTTTGTTCTCTTATGTTTGGTGTTCTACAATTGAGCCATGTCTCCATTATAGCTTTTTTGCTGGTTAATTGGAGATAAGAGTCTCAGGATTTTGCTGCCTAGGTTGACTCTAAGCCATGATTCTCAGATCTTAGCCTCCTGAGTAGCCAGGATTATAGATATAAACTACTACCAATTTCACAATGTAGATTTCAGAATTGTTTAAAAAAAAAGAAAAGAAAAGAAAAAGGAAAAAGTCACTTACTAATTTTTTTTTATTGTAAAGATACTATACAGAGGGTTACAGTTATATGAGTGAGGTAATGAGTACACTTCCTCTTGAACATTGTTACCCCCTCCATTGTTTTCCCCCTACCGTCCCCTCCCTCCCTCCCTTCCCCAAGGTTCTTTTTTTTTTTTTTATTGTGATTATCACTTACTAATTTTAAAACATCTGGTTTCTGATGAGAATTCCATTATTAGGTTGTTGTAACCTTTTTTGCAGAAAATTTAAATATATTCAAAAACAAAATAATATAAATAGTATAAATCTCCTTATATATATATTTTTTGAGGGAGGCAGGGGATCCAGTTGTGGGGCCTAAACTCTGGGCCTGGGCGCTGTCCCTCAGCTCTTCAGCTCAAGGCTAGCACTATACCACTTGAGCCACAGCGCCACTTCCGGCTTTTTTCTTTTGTTTTTTTGTTTTGTTTTTGGGTCCGGTTGTGGGGCCTGAACTCTGGGCCTGGGCACTGTCCCTCAGCTCTTTAGCTCAAGGCTAGTGCTCTACCACTTGATCCACAGAGCCACTTCCGGCTTTTTTCTTTTTGTTTATGTGGTGCTGAGGAATGGAACCCAGGGCCTCAGGCATGCAAGGCAAGCACTCTACCACTGAGCTACCATCCCAGCCCTGGCTTTTTTCTTTTTGCTTATGTGGTGCTGAGGAATTGAACCAGGGCCTCAGGCATGCAAGGCAAGTGCTGTACCACTTAGCCACCTTCCCAGGCCCAAAATCTCCTTATATTTGTTACTCAATTTCAGTAATTATCAACTTATGACCAATTTTACCTAGTCCCTAAACATGTTGATCATTTCTTATATATAAAGGCAATACTGTTGAGATTGAAAGGAATGCTATTAGTAATTATATCAGGACACCATGCATAAAATTCAGACACTTATAGGCATATTGGGAAGTGTTGTCAACATATGTTTAACCTCACTCACTTTCTATTCTCCAGTTCCCACAGTAACTACATACTATTTTCATACAAATTCTAATTATCTTTATTTCATCTATAAACTGGTCAGTAGGGGCTGGGAAGGTGGCTCAGTGGTAGAGCGCTTGCCTTGCATGCCTGAGGCCCTGGGTTCAATTCCTCAGCACCATATAAGCAAAAAGAAAATGCCGGAAGTGGCTCTGTGGATCAAGTGGTAGAGCACTAGCCTTGAGCTGAAGAGCTGAGGGACAGCGCCCAGGCCCAGAGTTCAGGCCCCACAACCGGACCCAAAAATAAACAAACAAACAAACAAACAAACCGGTCAGTAAAGTATCATTATAAGGGAATTTTGGGGTGTTTTTTTTTGGTTTCTGGCCTTATTACTAATCATTTTCATTATAAGGGATTTTTTTTAATTTTTTAAATTTTTTATTTTTATTTTTTGTCGTTTGGGCAGAACTCGGCCTGGGCGCTGTCCCTCAGCTCTTCAGCTCAAGGCTAGCACTCTACCACTTCAGCCACAGTGTCACTTTCAGCTTTTTTCTGCTTATGTGGTGCTGAGGAATCGAACCCAGGACCTCATGCATGCAAGGCAAGCACTCTACCACTAAGCCAACTTCCCAACCCCTATTTTTTTTGGGGGGGGGTCCCGTTTGTGGGCCTGAACTCGGGGCCTGGGCGCTGTCCCTCAGCTCTTCAGCTCAAGGCTAGCACTCTACCACTTGAGCCACAGGCTTTTTTCTTTTGTTTATGTGGTGCTGAGGAATCCAACCCAGGGCTTCATGCATGCAAGGCAAGTATTCTACCACTGAGCCACCTTCCCAGCCCCTCTTTTTTTTTTTTTGGTTGTGGGGCTTGAACTCTGGGCCTGGGCACTGTCCCTGCACTCTTCATCTCAAAGCAAAAACTCTACCACTTGAGCCACAGCACCACTTCCATTTTTCTGGTGGTTTATTGGAGATGAATCTCATGGACTTTCCTGCTTGGCTGGCTTTGAACCGGGATTCCCCAGATCTCAGCCTCCTGAGTAGCTAGGATTACAGGTGTGATCCACCAGCGCCTGGCTAACACAAGCTTTTAAGCCAACTTCATCCTATTTTCTTTTTTCCTGTTTACAATTTTATTACTATAGATGCTTTCACATCAAGAGAATCATGCAAAATGGAAGATATCTGCTGACTCTCAAAAGACTTCTGTTCAGCAGCTAAATGAACAATTAGAGAAGGCAAAACAAGAATTAGAAGAAGCTCAGGACACCGTAAGCAATTTACATCAACAAGTTCAAGACAGGAATGAAGTAATTGAAGCTGCAAATGAAGCCTTACTTATTAAGGTAGATAAACAAAAATAATGAAAGCACTTGATTCGTTTTTCTTGATCTTGTAGTTTTTAGAGCACTTTATGGCCAATTATTGGATTGCTTAAATAAGAATTATCTTATTTAAAAGTTGAATTTGGCTAGGCACCAGTGGCTTATAATCCTAGCCTCACAGGAGGTTGAAATCTGAAGATAGCAGTTCAACCCAGCTTAAGGAGAAAAATCCACTCAAAAACTGGAAATGGGGCTAGGAAGGTGACTCAGTTGTAGAGCGCTTGCCTTGCATGCATAAGGCCCTGGGTTCCATTCCTCAGCACCATATAAGCAAAAAGAAAAAAGCCGGAAGTGGCGCTTTAGCTCTAGTGGTAGAGTGCTAGCCTTGAGCTGAAGAGCTGAGGGACAGCGCCCAGGCTCAGAGTTCAGGCCCCATGACTGACAAAAAACAAAACAAAACAAAAACTGGAAGTAGTACTGTGGCTCAGGTGGGTGAGTGCTAGCCTTGAGCACAAAAAGGTTCAGGAACAGTGCCCAGGCCTTGAGTTCAAGCCCCCCAGCCGGCCAAAAAAACAAAAACAAAAGAATGTGAATGTAAGATTTACTACAAAAAATTGCTACTTTAACCACTTATAAGATGATTTATTTATTTTTTTGATGATTCAAATGTAATGTTTATTACATGTTTATTACTGTGGCCATTATTAAAATAACCAAAGAAAAATCAATTTAAAAAATGCCCAACTGTCAGTCCAGGCAGTATTGACATTTCAGCTTGACTGGTTCATGGTAGAGCATAAATATGTGGGCATCTGAAGCAATTCCTTACAGACCCGGCTTGGTTCTTCTCCAGTGTCTTCTCTTGGAGTTGTACCTGATTTTGTTACCAGTTTTCATTCAAATCCACTGGGGAATGGGGCGATTTTGCTTTTGTTTCTTGGCCAGAAACCGCTTGATTGTGAAAGTCTTGTGAGAAGACATGATGAGAAGCTCTGGAAGGCACAGTAACCACGATGGCGAACAAAAGCTGAAGAGCTTATAAGATGATTTAAATAAGACCTGAAGAGCTGAAATATTTGTGTTAAACTTTTATTTGATAATGTATACTGTAGTTAAAATAGTTTTAGTTATTAGCATAGTAACTTTAAAAACTAAACCTAAAAATAAACTATCCAATTAAAAGTGATTGATTCAGCTGAGCCCTGGTAGGTCACTCCTATAATTCTAGCTACCCAGGAGGCTGAGATCTGAGGATCCTGGTTCAAAGCCAGCCAGGCAGGAAAGTTTGTGAGACTTATCTTGAATTAACCACCAGAAAACTGGAAGTGACATAGGCTCAAAGTGGTTGAGTGCTAACCTTGAGCAAAAGAACTCTGAGACAGCACCCAGGCCCCTAGTTTAGATCCCATGACCAACCAAAAAAACAAAAAATTAGAGCTGCTCATGGTTAGTACAAGCCTATAATCCCAACAGTCTGGAAGCTATGAGGGTGGATGATGAGTTTGAAACCAGTCTAAGATATGTAGCAAGATGTTTGGGGGGAAATTTTTAATGTCATATCTTCATTATTTTTTTAGGCTTTATGAGGTTGTTTGTTTTGCTGGTTCTGGGGCTCGAACTAAGGGCCTGGGCGCTGTCCCTAAGCTCTTTTGCTCAAGACTAGTGCTCTACCTCTTGAGCCACAGCACCACTTTGTTTTTGAGTGGTTAATTGGAGATAAAAGTCTGATGGAGTTTTCTGCCTGGGCCTGCTTCAAACTCAGATCCTCAGATCTCATCCTCCTGAGTAGCTAGGATCATAGGCATGAGTCACCAGTACCTGGCTAGGCTTTATGTTTTGTCATTGTATGCTTCTTTCCTTTGATTCCGAAGTTTGGTCAGAGAACCCAAACAAAAGACATAGGAAAATAATAAAAGGGTCTTCTTGGATTGAAGACAAACACAGATTAGCTAATATATATTTATTTCCTACTAGAAAGTTTGAAAGGTATCTTATTCTTTTTTTGCATGTATGTGTTCACATTAGAGTATCAGAAATAATGAATCTTCACACTTCCACTGAGAAATTTTTAGTTGTGAGGGTCTTTTAGATCGGTTCTTGTTTGATTGTTTCTTTGGTGTGTCCTAATTTCTCAGCAGCAGTAACAGAACATTCCCTCCTTTTTTTTTTTTTTTGGTTGGTCATGGAGCTTGAACTCTGGGCCTAGGTGCTATCCCTCAGTTCTTTAGCTCAAGACTAGTGCTCTACCACTTGAGCCACAGCACTACTTCTGGTTTTCTGAGTGGTTTATAAGAGGCTCACAGAGTTTCCTGCCTGGGCTGGCTTTGAACCTCAATCCTCAGATCTCAGCCTCCTGAGTAGCTAGGATTACAGGCATGAGCCACCATGCTGGCTGAGCCTAGCATTCTTGCTTGACTGTTTTTTGCTCAAGGCTGGCATTCTGCCACTTGAGCTACACCTCCATTTACTGCTTTTTGCTTGTTAATTGTATATAAGATTCTCACCAAGCTTTCTGCCCAGCTTGGCTTCAAACCATAATCCTAATGTCTCAGCCTCCTGAATAGTATGGATTGTAGGTGTGAACCACTAGCATTTGGTTAAGTGTGAGATTTTAATCTTGAATAGAAATGATATTATCTATTGCAACAATGATACTCACAAGACACTACATTGGAAATGAACTTTACAACTTTGGGGAGAAGAGGAGTAGAGGAGGTGGGGGAGGGAACAGATAGTAGGAGAAAAACAAAGGAGGGAGTAACCATGCTCGACAAGAAATGTACTCATTACCTTACTGATGGAACTGAATCTCTCTGCACAGCATCTTTATAAGAAAATAATTTTTAATTGATATTATCATTAACATTTAAAATCTAGTATCTGTATAACAAATCTAGTATTTATAGAATTCCTTAGAATATTGAAAGAAATTTCAAATGAGCATATGTCTCATAATGAGGCTGTCTTAAACATTAGGAGATTTAAATAGAACTTGGAAAGCTCTCAAGATCTATTGTAGAAGTACAGACTGACTAGGACTCTTAAAATTTTATAAGCTGTGGGGCTTGAACTCTGGTCTTGGGTGTTTTGTTGTTTTTTTGTTGGTGGTGAGGCTTGAACTCTGGGGCTGAGTGTTGTTCCTGAGCTCTTCAGCTTAAGGCCAGTGCTCTACCACTTGAGCTACAGCGCCACTTCCAGTTTTCTGGTAGTTAACTGAATATGAGTCTCATGGACTTTCCTTGCTGGGCTGACTTTGAACCTCAATCCTCAGATCTCAGCTTCCTGAGTAGCTAGGATTATAGGCATAAGCCACTGGCACCCAGCTTGTTGTTATTTTTTTAAACAAACTAAATTATGCGATGGACTATGTGCTAATTTTTTTGTAGGAATCAGAATTAACCAGATTACAAGCCAAAATCACTGGACATCAGAAGACAGAAGACATCAAGTTTTTATCATCCGCATTCATATTTCCGTCAGAAAATACACCTGTTACTCAAGATTCACAGTTCATCAAACATTCCCAGTCATCTTTTTCCAAGTGCAGAAAACTACGTCGTTCTATTAGTGCCAGTGACCTCAGTTTCAAAAGTCATTGTAATGAAGATCTTTCTGAAGAATTATTACAGGACTTAAAGAAAATGCAATTACAACAGCCTTCAACATTAGATGAAAGTCATAAAGATCGAAATTATACTCAGGCAGATTCATTTAAGCCTCTCACATGTAACCTAGAAGATGATAATTCTGAGAGCAATGATTTTAGTACTCTTAGTGGAATGCTAAGATATATAAACAAAGAAGTGAGACTATTAAAAAAATCCTCTGTGCAAACAGGTGCTGGTTTAACCCAGGTATGTATTTTATGCAGTATAATATGTGAAAATTTGTCTTCAGTGGATATTTTTTAATTACATGAAGAAAAATCAAATATTGGTTGAATACTCCTTATCCAGAACAGAAGCATTTCAGGTTTCTCCAGATTTTGTAATATTTACATAATAGAGCAGGTCTCCAGTAGTTCACACTTGTATTACTACCTACCTACTCAGGAGGTTGAGATCTGAGGTTTGTGATTCAAAGCCAATTGGGATAGACAAATTGAAGAGCCTCTTATTTCTAGTTAATCAGTGAAGAGATAGAAGTGGAGATGTAAGTGGTAGAGCTCCAGCTATGCAACAATCCTTGAATTCAAGTCGCAGTAGCAGTGCATGGTGCATACAACCACACACACACACACACACACAGAGATATCATAGGCATGGGGTCACAGTCTAAGCATGAATTATTATTTTTTTGGGGGGTCCGTTCGTGGGGCCTGAACTCTGGGCCTGGGTGCTGTCCCTCAGCTCTTCAGCTCAAGGCTAGCACTCTACCACTTGAGCCACAGCGCCACTTCCGGCTTTTTTCTTTTGTTTATGTGGTGCTGAGGAATTGAACCCAGGGCCTCATGCATGCAAGGCAAGCGCTCTACCACTGAGCCACCTTCCCAGCCCCTAAGCATGAATTATTTATGTTTTGTATATTTTGTATATTGTATACATATAACCTAAAGGCAATTTCATACAATATTTTTAGTATGATATGGAATTCTATACTTAGAATCTCATACTGATACTCAAAAGCTTTTGAAGTTTGGAACAGTTATTTTCAGATTAGAGATAAATCGATCTGTATTAGAAATAAGGGAACCTGTATTTGAATGAAGCATACCATATTATGAAAATTTTGTATGTGCTTTCCTTAGGTCAATCTTAGAAATATAGTAAAAGTGTTAGGAATAAAGAAAAGGGTTGGGAATGTGGCTTAGTGGTAGAGTGCTTGCCTGACATTCATGAAGCCCTGGGTTCAATTCCTCAGTACCACATAAGCAGAAAAAGCCAGAAGTGGCACTGTGGCTCACATAGTAGTAGAGTGCTAGCCTTGAGCAAAAAGAGCTCAGGGACAGTGTCCAGGCCCTGAGTACAAGCCCCAGGACTGGCAAAAGAAAGAAAGAAAGGAAGGAAGGAAGGAAGGAAGGAAAGAAAATACATTTTTCCTTAGTAATAGAAAGTGGGAAACTGAAAAACTTTGAGAAACTAAATTTCACAGAAAAATGACTGTAAAGTATAGAGAAAAAAAAAAAACTTTTTTTTTTGTCCATCCTGGGGCTTGAACTCAGAGCCTAAGTGCTGTTCCTGAGATCTTTTGCTCAAGACTAATAATACTCTACCACTTTGAGCCACACCTTCACTTCCATTTTGAATGGTTAATTGGAGATAGGAATCTCACGGAGCCAATAGGGCACTGGTGACTCATGCTTGTATTCTTAACTACTCAGAAGGCTGAGATCTGAAGAGTCCCATTCAGAGCCAGCCTGGGCAGAAAAGTCTGTGAAACTCCAATAAACCACCAAAAAATCGTAGTGGTTTGGTGGCTCAAAGTGATAGCTCAAAGTGACCTGTTTCATTTAATGAAACAGGTCAGGGACAGTACCCAAGCCATGAGTTTAAGACCCATGACCGACCAAAAAAAGAAAAAAAAGAATCTTACAGAGACATTTCTGCCTGGGTTGGCTTTGAACTGCAGTCCTCAAATCTCAGCCTCCTGAGTAGGTATGAACCACTCACACCCAGCTTAGAATTTTTTTTTTTTTGGTCAGTCATGGAGTTGAACTCTGGGCCTGGGCACTGTCCCTGAGCTTCTTTTGCTCTACCACTTGAGCCACAGCTCCAGTTATGGCTTTTTCTGTTTATGTGGTACTGAGGAATTGAACCTAGGTCTTTATGCATGTTAAACAAGCACTCTACCATTAAGCCACATTCCCAGCCAAGTATTACAAGTTTAAGAGCAGGAAACATATATGAAATAGCTAACATGGAGAGTGGGCAAATATAAACAGACCAGGGAAATCTAGTAGAATTATGGCCAGCTAGTTTTGTCCTGTGGACTCTACCTGCGAAATGCAGGGCATCTGGCTTTATTTGTCCCAACCGACTGTATGCTGGAAGCAGGGTATCCTTTCTCTTTATAATGACAGTTAAAATGTATGCTCACAAACTCTACAGTGTTCTCTTGGGGATAGCACTGCTTCCCAATATGGATTCCCCTTAAGCCTGAGAAAAGGAGGAGCCTCTAGGAGGAGCCTTCATATCCTTCGCCCTGTACCCTGGTGCCTCCTCCAGGCAGTCATGGGCTCAGCACTGTGCTGGAGCAGTAGTTACTGTCTTTTGTTGTTTGTTGAGACTCTCTTTGTAGCCTGGACTGGCTTCAAATTTGCCATCCTCCTGCCTCAGCTTTCCAGGTGCTGAGATTATAGGTATGAGTCACTACATTAGATATTATTATTGCCCCTATTTTATAGATGAGAAATTTGAGTTCTGCTCTTAACCGCTGTGAGAAGAGTTTAGTGTTAACTCTCTTATTTCATGTGACATTTTGTCTTTTTACTGTGTGTTTTTAGTCAAACTGTTTTGTGGTACTAATGTCTAAATATCTTACTTTTCACATTCTCATTTTGCTTGTTATTTTGGTTTTCTTTTTGAGTTTGGTGGTTTGCTTCTTATTCATGGCTGATGTTCTGCCACTTGAGCCACTGGAGTCTGGCTTTTTTGCTGGTTATTTGAAGATAGAGTCTCACATTTCTGTCCTGAGTTGCCTTAAACTTTGATTTTCTGATCTCAGCCTCCTGAATAGCTAGGATTACAGGTATGAGTAACCAGAGCTGGGCAGTGTTCCCTATTTTAACTGACTAATATTTTTCCCTCTTTATAGTCTGTTGACTATAGTGGACTGTAATACTAAATCAATATTCAAATATTTTAAATATTAATCTATTATTTGCATTTTTCTAGGGAGAAAATTTATAATTAAAAGAAGATATCAACTCGATAAGAAATGGAATTGTTGGTACAGTCCTGTGTTTACTTATTATTATGTGTAGCACATGTTGCAATACAAGCTGTTATTTTATTGCCTTTGAATAAATTTTATATTTTAATATTTTTTGCTAAGTGTATCTTAGTGGAAGTTTATCTTATTTGGCCTATAATTGGTGGTTTTTTTGTTTTTTTATGTATTGTTGACATACTAAACACACTAAGTAATAAAGGGCAAATAAGGAGCAAATTAAGTGCTTTGGAGGCATGTTTTAGAAGAATACCTGCCTGCCTAGCAAGTACAAGGTCCTGAGTTCAAATTTCAGTAACCACCAAAAACAAACAACAACAAAAAGTAAGGGCTAGGAAGATGTTTTAGTGGTAGAGTGCTTGCCTTGCATTCATGAGGCCCTGGATTTGATTCCTCAATACCACATAAGCAGAACAAGCCAGAAGTGGTGCTGTGGCTTAAGTGGTAGAGTGCTCACTTGAGCTGAAGAGCTGAGGGACAGCGCCCAGACACAGAGTTCAGGCACCATAACCTGCGCGCGTGCGTGCATACTTGCATGCACACACACACACACACAGAGTAAATATAAAGAAGAAACTGAGAACAGAAATTAGTGATAGAAAAAAAAAGTAGAGAAAACACAGATAAAAGTTGATTTACTAAAAATACTAATAAAATTGATTGAACTCTAGCAAGGCTAGTCAAGAAAGAGATGCTACAATTACCATTATTAAGAATAAAAGAGGGCTGGGAATGTGGCTTAGTTGTACAATGCTTGCCTAGCATGCATGAAGCCCTGGGTTCAATTCTTCAGTACCACATAAACAGAAAAAGCCAGAAGTGGCGCTGTGGCTCAAGTGTAGAGTGCTAGCCTTGAGTAAAAAAGCTCGACGACAGTACCTAGGCCCTGAGTTTAAGCCCCAGGACTATCCAAAAAAAAAGGAACTGTGGGCTGGTATCTCAATCCTGTAACCCTAGCTGTTCAGGAGGCTGAGATCTGAGGATTATGGTTCAAAACCAGCCCAAGCAGGAAAGTCTGTGAGATTCTTATCTCCAATGAACCACCAGAAAAACAGAAGTAGAGCTGTGGCTCAAAGAGGTAGAGCACTAGCCTTGAGCAAAAGGAACTTAGGGACAGTCCCTAAGTTCAGTCCAGTCCCCATTTTCAAGCCCTTGACTGATGACCAAAAAAAAAAAAAAAAAGGAAGGGTTGAAGGTGTGGTAGAATGGCAGCCAGTGAATGAAAGCATCAGGTACTGAATTTGAGTTCTAGTCTTAGAGCAAAAAAAGAAATAAGGGAAGATTATAGAATACTTGCAGACATTAATTTTGGAAATATTAAGTATATCTTTATACCATAATTTTGTAACTTAAATGATACAGAACAAATGAGCGGAAAAAGTGAATAGTCTAATCTGAGAGGAATTATGTTTGCAGTTTAAAACATTCTTTCAAAGGGTACTGCCATCCAGATATTTTTTTGGGGGGGTGGTGGTCATGGGGTTTGAACTCTGAGCCTGGGCACTGTCAAGACTGGCTCTATCACTTCAGCCATAGCACTACTTCTGGCTTTTTTCTGCTTATGTGGTGCTGAGGAATCGAACTCAGGGCCTCATGCATGTGAGGGAAGCCTTCTATCACTGAGCTACCTTCCCAACCTCAGCCAAATGTTTTACTGGTACATGCTAGCAAATATTGGAGGAAGAAATATCAAAGAATTTTTTTCAAAAAATAAGGAGGAAAACCCAGTAGTTCATTTTATTGAGCCAACATAACTATTACATGATAATTTATGAAAAGACTACAGACTGGCACTACAGTTAGGGAAAAGGGTTTCTTGCTACTTCCTGCAGACTTAGACAGCCTGCTCTTTTATTTTTTTGGTGTCAGTCCTGAGGTTTGAACTCAGGGCCTGGGCACTGTCTCTGAGCTTTTTTGATGTAGCGCTCCACTTCTAGCGTTTTGGTGGTTAATCAGAGAAAACAATCTCATGGACTTGAGTCTAAAAGACCTTCCTTGCCTAGGCTGGCTTGGAACCACAACCCGCAGGTTTCAGCCTTTTTTTTTTTTTTTCTCCAGTCCTGGGGCTTAAACACCGCTTCTTTTGCTCAAGATTAGCACTCCACCATTGAGCTACAGTGCCACTTCTGGCTTTTTCTGTTTAGTGGTACTGATTAATTGAACCCAGGGCTTCATAGAAAGCACTCTACCACTAAGCTAGCCATTTAGCCTCGTAAGTAGCTAATTTTACAGGCACAAGCCACTGGTGTCTGGCCAGTCCTATTTTTAATGGTTATTTTGGAGATGGAGTTTCATGGACTATTTTGCCTGAGCTGACTCTAAACCACAATCTTCTGTGAATCGCAGCCTTTTTAGTCAAAAGGATTTTATAGGTTTGAGCCACCAGCAAGCACCTGGATGTCCATGAACTTATTTATTTAGTCCTTGAATTTGAACTCAGGGCTTAGGTGCTGTCCCTGAGCTTCTGTGCTCAAGGCTAGCGCTTTACCACTTGAGCCACATCTCCACTTCTGGCTTTTTAAACGCAGTTTAAGAGATAAGAAGAGTCTCACAGACTTTCATAACCTGGCTGTCTTTGAACTGTGATCTTCAAACCTCAGCCTTTTGAGTAGCTTTAATTATAGGCATGAACCTGTAGCTAGGATTACAGGCCTATGCCAGAGCCCAGCACAAACTTGTTTTACATGAAGTTATGTTATACACAAATGTTACATTTTCCTCCATCTTTGTTACCAAAGTATGTTGAAAAAAATCTATGTTGAGTTTAACATGTTTTAATTCCTAATTTTTATAGAAATCATTTGATTATAAGAAATTGTATATCATAATTAACAGTATTCATAGGATTCATTGTAATATTTTCATACATCGTACATGATGCCCATATATTCTTCTTCTGCCTCCTTCCCTCTAGGTTACCCTTCCCCAGCACCTTTCCCAACCCCTAGAATCCATCTTCTGCTTTTAGGTGCTTTCTACTCTCAGTTTTTGATTTTCTGAGTGCATTTTAGGATACACCTGCAGGTAATATAAGTAGCCACTAGAGGGGAGCAGACACGTACATAATGACAAGCTCCTTTATGTCTCTTAACTATTCAATTGGTCAAGAGTTCTTGGTAAATGCCTGATTAAATACATTTATATTTCATTTTGTTTGTGGTGTGTAATGATATATAAACATGAAATCAGGTAGAACAATACATATATTTCATTGTTGTAAAAATGTCTTTTGTGGTCTTCATTACAAGGCAAACGGACTATTTCAGAGTTTGTTTTGTTTTTTATTTTGGGTCCAGTCATGGACCTGAACTCTGGGCCTGGGCGCTGCCCCTCAGCTCTTCAGCTCAAGGCTAGCTCTCTACCACTTGAGCCACAGCACCACTTCCAGCTTTTTTTTTTTTTTTGCTTATGGGTGCTGAAGAATCGAACCCAGGGCCTCAGGCATGCAAGGCAAGCGCTTTTACCACTGAGCCACCTTCCCAGCCCCTCAGAGTTTGATTTCCTTTTTAGCTTTTCTTTGCGTGGCCCTCAGCTATGAAGTTTACACATTCTTTTATTGTTTATCTGAATGACAGTAATTATAGTAATTGACTTTAGAGTGCACCGATTTTTCTTTGCCTCCTTTCTGTTCCTGTTTTTCTATCTTCTCTCTCACTAGTACGTATTCCCAGGTATTTTTCTTCTTTGTATTCCTTTCTTTCAAATGTTTTACTCCTGAAAGCAATGTGATAATAACTGAAAAGGCCATGTTACACAGAACTCTAACAGTAAAAAAGTGCCAAACTTGGAATTAGTTAGGTGGAGACAAAACTTGCCCGCTTTGTACGAGCCTGTCACGGCACTGGTGTTCCACAGCAAGTTGGGGTAAATGTGGTTGTTATAGTTTGAGTATGAAGTTTCTCCACAAAAATCTCAAATGTTGAATGCCTGGTTCCCAATACAGTGACATTCAGAGGTAGAACTTGAGAGAATGCTTGACTCATGAGAGCTCTGACTTCTTCAATGGATTAGTCTACTGATACATTCATAATCGGATGGAAGTAATGGGCAGTGAAGGGGATAGATGTTAGGATGTGGGCCCTACCTGGAGGAAGTCCATCACTGGACACATGCCTTTATCTTGTCCCTGCCTTTCCCTCTTTTTTGCTTTCTTTCTTTCTTTTTTTTGTTTCTTTTTGCCAGTGCTGGGGCTTGAACTCAGGGCCTGGGTACTGTCCCTGAGCTTCTTTTGCTCAAGGCTAGCACTCTACCACTTGAGCCACAGAGCCACTCTGACTTTTTCTGTGTATGTGGTACTAAGGAATCGAACCCAGGGCTTCATACATGCTAGGCAAGCACTCTACCACTAAGCCATATTCTTTGCCTTTTTTGCCCTCTAGTTCCTGTCTACCCATGAGGCGAACTGTTTTGTCTCACCTCAAGCTCAAAGCATGGTCAGCTGACCATAGATTGAGGCTTCTGAAATCATGAGCCGAAAGAAATCTTTCTTTAAGTTATTTCTCTTGGTGCTTGTCATAGTCACTGAACAACCAATTCATGCAATGGTAGACAAGATGAAATCTCTCAGAACCTTCCTAGAGAAGGAAAGTTAGAAGAAGGATTGCTGATGTAAAGATATGGGAATATAGTTCCCAATAATGCATAGCCTTCAGTACACAAGACACAATCTATTATGATGTTAGACAAAGAGAATTAGTGAACTAAAGCAAATATAAAAATTATCACATTGGGCTGGGAAGATGGCTCAATGATAGAGCGCTTGCCTTGCATGCCTGAGGCCCTGGGTTCGATTCCTCAGCACCACATAAGCAAATAGAAAAAAGCCAGAAGTGGCACTGTGGCTCAAGTGGTAGAGTGCTAGCCTTGAGCTGAATAGCTGAGGGACAGCGCCCAGGCCCGGAGTTCAGGCCCCACAACCGGACTCAAAAAAAAAAAAATTATCACATTGGAGCCGGGTGCCAGTGGCTCATGCCTATAATCCTTGCTACTCAGGAGGCTGAGATCTGAGGATCGAGGTTCAAAGCCAGCCTGGGCAGGAAAGACCGTGAAACTCTTATCTCCAATAA